TTTTTTTTTTTGGGATGAGATCCAAGGGTGTCCACCGCCGACAGTAGTGACTAATCCCTTTCGCCGCGGGAGCTCTCCAAAGGAGGTAAATAGCTGGCCACGAAATGCGCTCCATTCCCATGGGCGGGGATCGAACCCCCAACCACATGGTTACGGAATGAGATGAGCTACCACCACACCACATCTCATAGTTTGTGTTTTACTTTACACAATAGATATATATTTGTTTCACCATTAAATTAATTAAAACGCCCTCCATATTCAACTGCTCCACTTTGTTTGTGCCTTGCCATTGAAGACCATCTCGGGGCTTTAAATTTGTACCACATGCATAACACAAGTTGAGAGAGTCCCTCATATTTTAAAGTTGTTTGACATTACGATATTTTATCATCCTCCCTTGTGAATTGTGATTTCTCATGACAAAATGATCTGTTTTGGTTTAAACTTTAACATGGGAGGCCATTCTCGAATTCCAGCCTTACGTGTAGGGTAATGCTCGCTACTATTTGAATTACAAGTCTCTATAATATGAACTTTGTCCTCCTTTCTCTTTACAACATAAATAAATAAATACATTCTCACTTGCTACTTCCGACAAAAACTTAAAAACTTTATTTCTTCCAGATTTAAAACCTTCTATTCAAATATATGGTTGTGAAAAATTGCCCATAAGATTGTTTTTTTTTTTACTACAAATGTGGGTTCAATTGACTAGGATTGTGCATCCAAGTTCAAGTATCCTTTCCTGTAGATTTAATTAAATCATAGTAATTTAGATTATCACTTATATAAAAAAAAATTATTTTTGACTGCTCATTTAGTTTTTGAGACTACACATAATGGCATGTTGTCAGTTCCAACATTAAATTCACTAGACAATTTTTATTTTTTTGACAAAGCAATATTTTAAACTACTCGTATAATGGGAAGGGTATCGAACTTGAGTGCAAAGCCGGCACACTGCCTTGACTGCTAATTTCACTGAACATAGATCAAGATATCAAACAAAAATGCTTCCTAAATAAGCAAATTTACTGAACATTGATCAAGAACTTAGTCAAAAAAAAAAAAAACTTCCCAAAGAAGCAAATCCAAACAAGGTATCCAAGCTACTTGAGCAAACAAGGTATCCAAGTTGAGATGGTAAATGGGCTGACAGGAGGATAGTTATCCCCAAACTCAATTTTAAGCCCATATTTTAAAAGGCATTCAACAACGACAAAAAAACTATAAGGATGACACTGAAAAAATAAAAGTGTGAGGACGAAAGTGAAAATTCGAATAAACTATAGGGAACCATTGGGCCTTCCAAAAAAAAAAGGGCCCAAAACTCCAATGTAAAACCCTACAATTATCCAACCAGAATATTTCCTCTTCTTGTTGTAAGCCAAAAAGTGAACCCGAAAAAATTAAAAAAGAAACAAAAAAAAAAGATGATGATATAAATATTGAAGCTAATTAATTTTTTTCGTCAAGAATTTGATGAAGATATTTTTTTGGTAAAACCCAAAACCCTACTTGGTTAGTTTCCCATTTCGTTATCTGCTGCTTCTCGTCCCCTTTCGCATCACAATTAGACGGTGTCTAAGGACAAGCATGCAGATTACAGAGCTCACTCTCCCACCTCCATTTCCCTGCGGCTTCGACGCTGCCACTCTCACTCTGATATCGCCACCCACAGTCTCGCTCTGCTAATTTGTATAGTTTGCTTCTGCGTTCTCAACCGCCCCAACCATTTCTGCTTTGGGTTCTGTTCTTCAACTCCTTCTGGAAATGGTTTTGAAATTTCTGTGATTTTGGGTACTTGTGGAAGAAGAAGATGATGGAAAAGATAAAGAGGAAAACTCAATCACAGCTTGAAGCCCTTGAGAGCTTCTACTCAGGTACGCTTCTTCGCTAATTGTCCTCTCTCTCTCTCTCTCTCTCTCTCTCTCTCTGCGTGTGTGTGTGTTTGATATATGTAGCTTTTGTTATTATTGCTCTGTTTCTCTATTGGGTTCAGAATTAAGCCACCCAATTGACAGTTTAATTGAAATCAGCATTTTATACGTGCAATTATTGGCTCAAATTTGGAACAGACAACTGCAATCGTTCCGTTGTTTGTTTTGATTTTAGAAAGCAATAAGGATATAGTTGCAGAATACAATTATACAAGCACTTAGGATTGGTCGTGCATCTGTTGCTATAGATTCTATAAATGGTAGCGAACTTTTAGTGTTAATCACAAGAGAGCGAAACCCAATATTTACAACCTTTTTGTTTTCTTCACAGAGGATAGGTATCCTTCACGAACGGCAATGGAATGCCATGCTGCTGCCTTCAGATTGACTTACAAGCAGGTTCGGGGTTGGTTTGTTGAGAAGAGGAGGAGAGAGAAGCGAGAAAATAAAACCACTGAGGAGTTGGGTGGAAGAAATGGGTCGGGAGCTGGTGCTCCAAGGGTAGTTAAACACTGCCTCTCAAAAGCAAAAGCTCCTTCGTTGTCGAGATACAAGCAAACAAAAATGAATGGGAATCATATTCAGGAATTGTTAACTCCAGACTACATTCTCAAGAAGGTGTTCCGCAAAGATGGTCCTCCCCTTGGTGTGGAATTTGACTCTCTCCCCTCTCGGGCACTTTTCCATTCTACAGGTAAGAACTGAGAAACTTTCAGGTCTGAGAAATCATAGGCAAAATGAATCATTTCTATTGTACATTTTTGTCTATCTGAGATCTATTCTCCTTTTCCGTTTGTTTAAAAAGTAAACTACACATCAGTTGTAAAATTTTCACTCAGAGTGGTTTGGTGTGTTGATGAGAACATTCTCTTTGTTGATTTTTATATGAGTTGTGAAGGGAGAGGACTTGATTCTTTGAGATATTGTTGTTTCGTAATGTTTAATGCCATTCAGAATTAGATGTTTTTGGTAGTTTGCGTCTAAACTTCTTGACAGAGTTAATTTGTATTGGTGTTGCAGTAGCTGTTCGGAAAATGTTCTCTCTTTGTTCTTTTCGATGCTATATTGTAGATTTTTTCTTTTGTTGCACTACATATTTTAAGAAGGTTTCACTCACATTGTTATTTCCATTTAGATCCCGAAGATTTACATCCCCCTTGCAAAGAGAACCAAAGAGAAACTAAAAGGAGGAAGGTAATGGATAAATTCTTTTGTTGGCACCAGCTTTCATGATTCTCTTGTTTCTACCTTAAGTGTCCTTAACTGGTCCCACAAATATTCTTACCCTTTTGACTTTTATTAGGTTACCGAGCATGCTGTCATTGGTCATCAGAATTGCGACAAGAGTGCTCCAGTGAAAAAACATGGTGTTGGAAAAGGTTTGATGACGGTCTGGCGGGCAACCAATCCTGATGCTAGAGATTTTCCTGTTGACATGGGTTTTGCGAACGGTGAAGTCACTAGTGTATCATTAAATCCAACTTCTGTATCACGAAAACCAGTAACTCGGAACAGAAGATTGCAACAAAAAAAATGTGTTCCTGTAAGTGATTTAGTCTGTATTGCTTGCAGATATGTGAGAAAGTCTTTTGGGATGATCATCTTAAAGGTCGATCTGAGTGGTTACCTTTAGACAGTTGTCTGACATTTGTTGCCTTTACAGAAACAGGGACGGGTACGGAATAAGGTACAAGAAAAGAGGAAACATTTCGTCAAAAGAAGAGAAGTAAGTGAAAAAATTGTTCTTGCAAATTTATGGTTTAAGTTAGCAGATTTAACAACATTCATTTTGCTTTTGGATGCAAGGTGGAATCTAACAATGAGAATCAGACTCTGCCAAGCAAAGAAAAATGTGAACTTGCTTTGGAAGGAGCAGGTTCCCAAGAACACTCGGATAAGATTGCAATGCTTGTGGAAGATGAAGAGCTGGAGCTGAGACAATTACAAGGAAGGCCAAATGCATTGGGGTGCTCTGATCATTTTACTACTAATGGAGATCATGCCTGTTCACTTTGCAAAGGTTGGTTTGAAGGAAGAACGGAACAAATTTTCCACTCTAAAATGAAATGCTGTAATATGTATGTGTCTGCATGTATGGTATTTTGAGCTGTGGATAAGGAATTTTTGGGATTTCAGATTTCCTGGCCAAGTTTCCTCCAAATTCTGTCAAGATGAAGCAGCCATTTTGTATGCAACCTTGGGATTCTTCTCCAGAGATTGTCAAGAAACTGTTCAAGGTATGTGAATTGCAAACTGTTTGTGGCCTGATTTTGTTAAGTTCTTTTGCAAATATAGGACATCGTTCATGAAAGATGTCATACACTCCATCTATTATTGCATTTGCCTTTTCTTATTTATGAGGTCTGTTTTCTTATTCATGATTGTACGGTGTATAAAAGCTTGGAATAATTATTTTGTGCTCGCTAATACTGCCTAATGGTCTCTCATTACTCTTACCAATCTTTTTTGTTGATGCTCTCATTGCATAGATTGAAGTCATAGGTTGTTCTTGTAGAGATGTTATGCAAACAATGATATACTCAAGAAAAACATATATCAAGTACTAGAGATATATGGAATGTGGTCTAAATTTGATATTGGAATCTACTTGTAAGTTGTAATTCTCTTTTGTGTAGTTCGTACCGAGTGTAGGAAATTTATTATTATCTTGTCAACTTTATGATTCCTTATGGAAACTAGAGAGTGAAAAGATCTGCAGTTTTTTTTTTTGGTTTGTTAACAAATGTGTCTAGGGGCCATCAATTCAGATTGCTACATTTTGTTTAGTTATTGTACTCAAATATATTCTGGGTTGACTTTCTTGGGCAGGTTTTCCATTTCCTTTGTACTTATGCCGTTATGGTAGACATAAGTTCCTTCACTATTGATGAGTTTGCCCAAGCATTTCAGGACAAGGTTATATCTTATCTTTGATCCAACATCGGATTTATTGTGTCTTCTACTTGCTCAACATCTTTGTTTTGTAAAATGCCTTTTAGGATTCCTTGCTACTTGGAAAAATTCATGTGGCTCTTCTGAAGCTTCTTCTATCTAATGTTGAAGCCGAGCTTCGCTGTGGATCTATACCTCATTTGAGCAAATCATGCAATTTTCTTGCATTTATTCACTCGGTGAGTTATGAACAAACAGCATATAATCGTGCAGATCACAGACATTTAAAGTTCATTTAACTTATGATAATGTTGTATAGTCATATTGACCATTTCATTTGGGTACATATATGTCACAGCAGTTTTCTAAAGGCTCATATGTTTGGAACTTTGTTGGTAACAAAAAGAGAATGCAATCTATAAGACTGTTGACATGTTTCTTTACAGGGAAGTTAAATACCGCTGAAAGTAGCAATATGATATCAGAAAAATTTAAAGAATACAGGAAAGAGGATATCATCTAATAATCAAAAGTTTGGTGTGACTACAGAAAAGGTGTACACTCCAGAATTTCTGATAGATATGCTTAGGCGACAAGAAATTTTCCGAACAAAATCATAATCAGCCTATTAGTAGTCCATCCATATGCACGTTTAGAAGATCCACTTGCTTTTTGTGGTATAGTTGATCAGAGATACTTATTTTTGTCAACCTCTTTAGACTTTTTTGCTCATCTCTTAAATCAATTGTTATTTCATATTATTATGACAAAATTGAATGCAAGTACTCAATAACTAAGCATCTTTGTCAAATGATTTGGCAGGTTGAAAATCAAGAATCCACTCTGGAATTCTGGAAGAGATCACTTAACCCTTTAACATGGACAGAAATACTGCGTCAAGTACTGGTTGCTGCTGGTTTTGGTTCAAAGCAAGGTGCAATGCGAAGGGATGCCCTTAGCAAGGTCTTCTAATTTAACTACCGTAGTTGCAATTGATTTTTCTAAGCTCCATTTCCTCTCTAGTAAATGTATTTAATTAACAATACATCTGTATTCTGCCAGTTAAGTGCTACATATGCCTAATAATATGTGTTCATCACCCAAAGCCTTGAGCATTCAAAGCCTTATTGGCAATCGTCTTTTAAGATCTGTCATTACCCTGAATAATCTGTTTCTACCTTGAGGCAGAGCCCCAATTGGATAGATTCATTTTCCATACTAAAGGACCAAATCAGAAATTTTAGGTTTTACATATAACATGTAGTGATTGAATGTTAAAGGAAATAGTTTCTTCAGTTTTGTTTGTTGGCATTATCATGCATTCCTAAATAACATCTGTTGAGCATATGCATATTTGTCTCCACTTGTCTCTGGAATTATTTGCTTTAATGAACAGACATGCGCAGGAGCCTTTATTTACTTTCTTATGGTGGTTTTATTTATGTTCTACAATTAATAAGCTTTATCTGTTGTTGCATAAACCTATCTATAAATGTAAAATTTGGTTTTTCAAATTGAATCTTCTGTTATCTAGGAAATGAGCCTTATGGTGAAGTATGGTTTACGCCCTGGTACTTTGAAGGGTGAATTGTTTAGAGTTCTTCTAGAGCAAGGAATTCATGGGTTGAAAGTTTCTGAGTTGGCGAAGTCATTGCAGGTGCTTTTCTTGAAAATGTTATTATCATAATCTCTCATGTTTTAATCATTAAGTTGATACCAGCCAAGCACAGCATTCCACTTGAATTAGTGATGGACTTTGTTTTTGTTTTGCAGATTTCTGAATTGAACCTTTCCAGTGGAATAGAGGAACTAGAGTCTTTAATTGGTTCAACTCTTTCAAGTGATATTACATTATTTGAAAAGATTTCATCATCCACATATCGTGTGCGTATTAATTCTTCTGAAAAGGAAGTGGAGGAATCCCAATCAGATACCGAAGACTCTGGAGCAGTTGATGATGACCTCAGTGACAGTGGTACATGTAGCAGTGATGATGATTCTGGGTGCAATTCAGGAAATTCCCAAATTAAAAAGCTGACTTATATGAACCATGGAAAAAGTAAAGATAACATGGTGACAGTATACACCGAAATTGATGAGAGCCATCCAGGAGAAGTATGGTTGTTAGGACTGATGGAAGGCGAATATTCAGATTTAAGCATTGAAGAAAAGTTGAGCGCAATAGTGGCTCTAATTGATCTTCTTCATGCAGGTTCTAGTTTTAGAATGGAGGTAACATATAGAATCTTTGCATGGACTTTGAAACCTTTTCTTTGTTTTTATTTTTCCCCCTACTATGAGGTTGCCCTATTAAATGGAACGTGTTCAGTCCTTTGTAAGATAATATCATCTGAACGGTGCAAACTGCATTATATATAAAATACTTTGACAGTAAATATTATTTGAATATTCAATGAGATTCAAGTAGCCGTAATTATAATGGTGGTTTATAAGTTTAATATTGGTTCGTATTATTGTTTTCCTTAAAATTTGATCTACCTTTTGTGTTCCACATATGTGACCTGACTGAAGTCCTGACGGGTTCATTACGGCTGCCTTCTTTGGCTTCTCCAAATAAAAACAAAAAAACAGAAACTGATAGCTTCTAGTTGTCTATGCTATTGTTATGTATCATGTATTTCCCCACTGAGTTCTTAAATGTTCTTCAATTGTAACTATAGTTTTCAACAGCATTTAAACATGCATGGTATTTAAGTAATTTTCAGCAGATTAAACATGTCTCTCTTATTCCTTTATAGGATCCTATAAATGCCATTGCTGAATGCATTCCTAGCAGTCTTCATTCTGGTTCAGGGGCGAAAATTAAGAGGTTATCAACTAAACAACATCGCATGCCCAGGCCAACCTGGGTCCATGCAGGACATACGAGCGGTGCAAAAGAAGATTATACATTAAAGTTTCACCCTATAGATTCTTCAGGGTCAATCTCAAAGTTCTCTGACGAGAGATTCTCTACAAAAGAGAAAAATGGAAAAGAAAGAGAAGTGCGGTTTGACTTACACCCAATGCAATCTGTGTTTTTGGGGTCTGATCGTAGATACAATAGATACTGGCTTTTCTTGGGCCCTTGTAATGCATATGACCCAGGACATAGAAGGGTTTATTTTGAATCTTCAGAAGATGGTCACTGGGAGGTGATTGATACAGAAGAGGTATTCTGCTGAACTTTTGTTATTCGATCAATGTGATTGTTGTACATATTGCTTGACCTTGTATAAGTTATGATATTTACTTGCTTTTTCCTAAACCAAATGCAGGCTCTGTGTGCTTTGTTGTCAGTTTTGGATGACAGGGGTAAACGAGAGGCTCTTCTTATTGAATCCCTAGAGAAACGAATAGCGTTTCTGTGCCAAGCGATGTCAAGTAGAATGGTAAATAGTGATAGAATTGACAACTTGGCGCAATCTGATCAATCTGAGCTGGATAGTGTTAGAGAAGACACTTATTCACCAGTATCTGATGTAGACAACAACTTATCTGGAATTGCAAATGATTCTCTGCCTTCATCTGGAGTTGTGGTTCTTGAAGTTAGAAAGAAAGGAGAACAACAGAAACAGAAATGGAGCCGAATCCAAGCATTTGATTCATGGTTATGGAATTCCTTTTACCTAGATCTTAATGCTGTCAAACATGGTAAACGATCCTATTTTGATACACTTACTAGATGTGAAAGTTGTCATGATTTGTATTGGAGAGATGAGAAGCACTGCAGGATTTGCCATACAACATTTGAGCTTCATTTTGATCTGGAAGAAAGGTATGCCATCCATGTAGCCACATGTAAGGAGAAAGAAGCGAGTGATACTTTTCCTAAGCATAAGGTCCTCTCATCACAGATCCAATCACTAAAAGCTGCGATGCATGCAATTGAGGTAACCCATCATTTGGATTTTAGCTTTCCATTTTCTGATATTTGTTTGTTATAGTAATGAAGATGTCCTCCAGTTAAAAAGATTTCAAGCTACACATATCCTTGATAGACTGGAGGAGAATAGGACTTCAGTTGAGGATCAACCTAGGAATGAATTAAGTGTTCATGGTTTGGATAATTAGAATGTGACTTTGAGATTTATGTGCAATCAAATCCGATAGCTTTTATATAATAAAAAAAAGAAGAGAAAATCTCTGAAGTGCAATAAGATTTTAGATGAAGGGATGGGGGATGGCGGGAAAACAAGGCCAAAAGAGGAATTTAGCATGTGTTACTGGGAAGGGATTGATGAAAATGCATACTGCTGTGAATGGAGCAGAATGGTTGATTAGTATCCACCTGCCCTGTCTGATTAGTTCGGGCCCCTGGTAGCTAACCCTAAATAGTGGGATTATTTTAGTTGGATTTTGGGGCCTGAACCTTCTGATTTCTATTCGCCCCAAAGTTTTTAATGTTTTTCCGTGCAATATTGATCTCCACCTCCCTCTGCTTTGTGCAGTCAGTCATGCCAGAAGATGCTTTGTTGGGTGCTTGGAAAAAATCTGCTCATAAGCTATGGGTGAAACGACTGAGACGTACCTCATCTTTGGCTGAGCTTTTGCAGGTTTTCTATTTTCCTCTTTTCACACTATCTATTTTTTGTTTATTTTCTAGTCAGAACCATCAGTTTCTTTATTGTTTACTCATGCAGGTTCTTGGTGATTTTGTTGGTGCCATCAACGAGGACCGATTATATGAATGCAACATAGTGCAAGGTTCTTGTAATTTTAGTGAAGAACTGATTGCGTCCTTTGCCTGTATGCCCCAAACAACATCTGCAGTTGCACTCTGGTTGGTAAGATTGGATGCCTTAATTGCTCCATACTTGGAAAGAGCCCATTCTCAGAAAAGGCTGGAAATTAGTGTCAGAGGTAATGATTGAATATAATGCAGATTGGTGCTTGACAATTGAGTGACTTCTTAGTTGTTTTCATAGCTGTTCAAATTTTCGCCATCTTAAAAGCTTCTTTTACTTCAGGGAAGCATGCTCCAAAGCAATAGCACCGCCTTTTTTCGGTAGATTAGCCAAATTCAATCCCACATTTTTTTGACAGATTGAGGAGCAAATATATGTCCATTGTACTGCCAGATCAGTGGAACTGTTGCAGGCTTTGAAACCGCGGTACTTTGTATGAAGCTATGCTTCAAGTTTTCTATTTAGTTGCCATATATGGCTATTGAGCCGTTAGATGTACAGCATGAAGGAAAGTTGGACGTTTAATAGATACAAGAGTTTCATATCACTGAAGCCTGCTCCAGAGAAATATCCACACGTTTATCCTATATTCTCTTGTATAGAATATGGCAGCCTCTTTACTGTCTCAGTCAATGGAGGATTCAGATTTTGTTTCATGTATGCTTGTTCTAGTTTTTTGAAGCAGGAATAAAATGTTGTCAAATGTACATTGTTGTAAAGAAAAACAAAATACTGTTTTAAAAAAAAAAAAAAATTGAAGATTTGAAAGTCATCTTTGTGATAATCTTTTGTAGCTAGAACAATGTTTGTTGTAGTTGAATATCCTCGACCTCACAGTTTGTTGCCAAAGACTTGTTGGTTTATTGAAATTCGTATTTCTTCATTGTGGTTCTCGTAGCTATTGATTAGTAAAAAAATAAACATTCACCAAGTATGCTCGAATTATATTACACAAGAATAGGGTTTGGCTGTACTTTTTCTATGGCGTTTTTTAAGATAATAATTGCTGCATAATTTCACGAAAGACTCCATGCATTCCTCGAAGCCGCCTTCTTGGTTTCGGTAGCAATTCTCAGTGCCTTGAGCAACAAACTTTATATATGCCTCAATCTTTGTGGCCATTTTAACCTTAAAATTATCAGTTGAAGAGGAATGAAGAAACTGAGAGGGATGATGCCGAGGAGGAAATAAATATGGAGAGGAAGAAATATCTTTATCTTGCACGGAATAATTATCACCTTGAATAATCTCAAATGAGTTCTCTTCATTGCTAGCTTTTACAACTTGTTTCGAGAGGTTTGTATATTTTGTTTTAAAGTTGAATAAATATATAAAATGTACTTATGGAATTTATTTTAAAGAGTATATATGTTGTGTGTATAGTGACTATTTTTGGGCCACCTATTTTACTAATTTGTTTTTTTTTTTGTTGGAACCTATTTTACTAATTAAAAATCAATTTAAAAATCAATGAGAAATGAAAAATAGTACATGTCCCTTTGTTAGAGACATAAGTTATCTTCCCAGTGTTTATTTTTTGCCTTACACATTAAGGATTAAATGTGATAATTAATTGGCTTATAAAAGGCATGTCACTACCTATATTATAGAAAGTTGCATATACCGTTAAATGTAAGTTTATTTATTTATTTTTTGTTGGAGCTTAAATGTAAGTTAAAAATCACTCTTCAATTAAAGGTAAGTATCTTTATAGAGCATCTGCTTCAGCAAAAGACAAAATAACGGTAAGAAAAAAAAAGGACCCTAAACTAGCCTAGGGGCTAGGCGCCCGCCTAGGTCTTTTAAATTTTTTTTCCTGACTTTAAAGAAAACCTACGTCAATAACGTGGTGATCAGAGCATATGCGTGTACAAAAATCAGTGATGCGAATGAAACTCTTTCTTCGTTTGGGTGGTTGTTATTGTATAAGCAAATGCTCTGCGATGGCATTTCCCCTAATTGTCTCACTTTTCCGTTCCTTGTAAAATAATGCACAAGTAGGGTTGATGGTGGCACATGCCGGAGTTTCCATGAACAAGTCGTTAAGTATGGGCTCGACATGATGTTTTTGTTCAAAATTCGTTGATTGGTATGTACTATGCATGTGGGTTTCTGAATAGTGCACGTACATTATTTGATGAAATGTTGGAATGGATGTTTTGTGGAACCGATGATTAAGGGGTATTTGAGAAGTGGGAATCTTGATGAGGCATTGAATCTGTTTAGGAAGATGAACAAGAGAAGCATTATTACTTCGAAGCAATAATAAAAATAAAAATTTAGTTTTATACCCAATCTTAGACATAGTCTTATAAAGAAATCCTATACCATTTAAAAACTATAAACACACCTAAAAAAAAACCCAAAAATCGACAGCTGTCAATTTTTTCAATTTAATAGCAGTTTTTTAGTTTATTTGTGTGTTAAATACCTATATTGCCCTTGTACTACGGATTTGAGAGAAAAAAATCAGATCTGCCCATATCTGCCAAAAAATCAAAAAACTAAATCTGCCAAAAAACCAAATCAGATTTATTTTCTCCTTTCTCGCTGGTGCTTTCTCTAGTGTTGGAGTAAGATGAGCTTCCATTGAAGCTCAGTCTTAGGTCCAACTATATTCTTCATCTTTAATCTACAATTTTCAATATTCCACCTTCGATTTCTTGTTCTAAAATTGTGCTTCTTTTGATATATATATATTTTTTCGGATTGTTCAAGACCTCGAACAAACCTAGATCAGATGCTCTTAGCTCTACTCCTCATCTTCGAGCTCTACTGCTCTTTCGCCACGTCGTCGTCGTCATCGTCGTCGTTGTCATTATCATCGTCATCGTCGTCGTCGTTGTCGTTTGGTTTGGACTTGAGATTTTTGATCTTTTGCTTCAATTATGTGTTTCTCTTCGGATTTTAGTTGATTTTTGAAATGTATTTTAAGCTTTGATGATCGATTTATCTTTTGTTACTATTTAAGTTATGGATCTCATTTTTGTTTAACGATGTACTTCTATGATAGAGTATTAACAATGTACTTCTATAACATAGTATTAACAATGTACTTCTATGACATAATAGTATTAACAATCTGGGCTCAGCTTGTTTTGAGTTGGTATGGTTTGTTCTTTCTTCATCTTTTCTTTGGTGGACATGTATTAGAAATAGCAACATGACAAGCATTAATCAACATGACAGTAAACTAGCAGTGTTATTACCCTAGACTGGAACATTACAGGGGTAGACATGCATTAGAAATAAGATGTCATAGAAAACTAGCAGTGTTATTACCTAGATTGGAACATTACAGCCATTAATCAACCTGACAGTAAACTAGCAGTGTTATTACCATAGACTAGAACATAACAACCATTAATCAACATGACAGTAAATGTGTGGAACATTATAGTCATTAATCAACATGACACGTAAATGACGCTATGGTTTTCAAGACGTTTTGTTTGTAATGAATTATTTGGGTTTTTTTTAATAAATAAAATTGGGCTGGGCTTGTTTTGGGTGCTATTTAAGTTTTTCTGTGTTGGACTTCTTTTTTAAGTTGATCAATGACAATCATGTAATTTATAGGAACTTAAACACCAATTTCTTTTGTAGTAAATGAGTTTTAGGTGTGTTTCTAAAGTACATTCCATGTGGGTTTTTTATTTATTATTATTTATAATTTCAACCCTTATTTTGAGTATATTAATGAAGCTCCTAATAAAAAACCGTAGTATGCGTCACAATGCGGCTATACTATTTTTAAAATCGTAGTATTAGCGTCGTTCAGATAACTCTCTCCCTTCTTCCTCACGCAGAGTCTGAGCCTCTTTGGCTGTGTTTCCAGACATGGGGAAGAAGACGAAGAAGCCAGGAAAAGGCAAAGAGAAAGCAGTGAAAGCTGAGGAAAAGAGAGCTCACAGAGAGACCAGGAGCTCTCACCTGAGGATGACATCGATGCCATTTTGGTAATTTCATACTCGAACTATATATATGTCTGTCATTTTGTGCTTGTTAATTATAGTTATGGATCATTTGAGAACAGCTGAAATAGTTTGTGGGAGTTTTAAACAGTGTGGGGAAAAGGCCGATTTTTCACAATCGTTGTCTGTGATTCTCATATGTATGTCATTTTGTGCTTGTTAATTAGAGTTATGGATCATTTGAGAGCAGCTGAAATAGTTTGTGGGAATTTTAAATAGTGTTGGAAAAATCTGCCTAGGCGGCGACTAGGAGCTTGGCGGCCGATTTTTCGCAATCGTTGTCTGTGATTCCCATATGTATGTCATTTTGTGTTCGTTAATTAGAGTTATGGATCATTTGAGAACTACTGAAATAGTTTGTAGGAGTTTTAAACAATGTTGGAAAAATCGGCCTAGGCGCTGGGCGGCCGATTTTTTGCAATCGTTGTCTGTGATTCCCTCTCCTTTTTTGTTATTGTTTTGAAGATTCTGTTCCCTATTTTCTATCTGATAGTTTATTTGCACCAAGGGTATGATGATTGTGGAAATTCAGAATTCCCATCTAGATTCATTGCAAGAATTTCCTAAATTGTATGTATTTTGCAGAGAGATGAGAACTTAATAATATATGTTACTACCTCAATCTAAAACTATTATTATACTCAAGTATCAACGGAGACCAACTTTTACATCCCAAAAGATAAGTATCTTGCTGTAATTTCATTGATATTATTTAATCTACTATGTCAATGTAAATTACAATTTTCTAATATATATTTATGTGATGCTTTGCAGGAAAAGTAGTATCCATAAACCAAAATTTCCAACAGAACATATGGCACTATCATGGAGTGTGTCAAGTTGGGAGGGTTGTTGATAAAGGATATAGAGTTCTTGGTATTGATTCTCTGAGGGTTACTGATGGTTCAACGTTTTATCACACCCTGGGTGCTAATCCTCAAGCTACTGTCATGATGCTTGGAAGGCAAGTATGCTTGGAAAACATATCATATATACATAATCTTCACGAAAATCTTATATTAATTGCTGATTAAACCTGCATTTTGGTTTCGTTTGTTGTGCATGTGCTGCAGATACATGGGGCAAAGGATTCTGCATGACAGATTAGTCCATGGATCAAAAAAGAAAATTGATCTGGTCACTTGTGTTTCCCAAACATAATTAAAGTCAATTAGTGATTACTGGAATATATGTCTCTGAGACATTTGAATAATATTGTAGAGATATATTGGAACCTAAAATTTTAAATTCTATATAGTTGATGTCAAGTTTATTTTAATATCATCACATTTGGTGTTGAATTGATCAGATCTGGTATGGTTCAAGCAAAACTTTCTGTACTCAGCTAGACTAGATTAGCCTTCCTGTGATTAAATATTTGCCTTGCTATTAAAACTAAATTAGCTATAAAAATAATTAGTTAGTTTTTGTTTATTTTTTTAAGAGTGTAATTAGGAAGGAAACTAGTAAGGAGGTGAGGATGACACAACACAACTGCTGGCAGTTTCAGAACTTTTGATCACATGGGCTGCTCTAACTTCATGAAGTCCTTCAGGTATAGGCCTTATTTTTCTTTAGTTGTGATGATTTTTTTGTACATCGTTTGCAAAAGAAAGATTTGAAAAATGATTACCAAATTAACGAATGAGGCATTGCGCACAATCATGGCATGGTTAGAAAGA